GATAGATAGATAGATAGATAGATAGATAGATAGATAGATAGATAGATAGATAGATGATGGATAGATAGATAGATAGACAGATAGAAGATAGATAGATAGATAGATAGATAGATAGATAGATAGATAGATAGATAGGCAGAGATAGCAACCCTTAGAACTCAGCAAGTCAGACACTGCTCTATGATTGTCTTGTCTCTTTGCAGCCCTCACTGTTAGTTAAGAGCCTGTCAATTCCTTGGACCCCTGGAGCTTATTCCAAGTGATCTGACCTAGCCAAGGTGCCAATCTCCCAACACTGTGGCAGGTAAAAACCAGGATAGGAGCTGCTAAAGGGCCAATGAAGACAGAGCTGGGAAGACAAGGAAGCTCCAGGGATAGAAACCACACATCATCCACTAGACCTCACAGGTCACCACCCCTATAAAAGAGGCCCAACAGACCCAGATCTGGCACATACCGGACACCATCTGGTCAAAGCTGGACCTGGCATCCGGGTGCCTCAGCAGGGACTTGGGTGTGAAGACAATGAGCTGGAAGGTAAAAAGCCAGCTGCCAGTAGCCCCTACCGATCTATGTCTCCCCAACCTCCAACCCTTGCACTGCCGTGTGCTAAGAGGCTCGGGGCAGCTCACTGGCTTGCGGAAGGGCAGCAGGATCTGTCGGCGCAGCACGTGGAAGTAGCTGGCTGGTGTGGAGCAGTTCACCACAATCCAGTTGCAGTCATAGAGCTGGCTCACCTCGAAGTCTTCAGTGAACACCTGCAGTGGACACTGGGGGCTAGGAGTGGCACTCTACACCCAGGCTCCAGGCCCCGCCTGGGACATCAGGAAGCACTCACTGGGTACGCATCTGAGTCGTCATTGCTCATCTGCAGGAATCTTTCTGGCCTTGCTGAGGAGTGCTCCGGACCCTGAAAACACATATGTGGCCCAGACTGAGCCTGCAGAGGCCTCAGGCTTGGGCTGCCTAGATGGCTTCAAGGGGCAGGTTAACCCTGTCTATGCATGTTCCCGGCTTGTCCACAAATCTAGCTCACAAGTTCCAGGGGCCTAGAGAGCTCTTCAAGGGGTCAAGGGGCGGCCCCACCCCTCGTAGGCTAGGCCTGCAAGGGCCTCCAGCCCTCACCATGCCCTCCATGCCATGGGGCAGCAGGAGAACGATGCCATTGTGCCGCACCCACTTGGCCTGGCCGGTGCTGATAAACTGGTCAATGATGCACTGGGCTGTGTTGTGGAAGTCACCAAACTGAGCTTCCCAGAGGACCAGGGCGTTGGGGCTGGCCATGGCGTAGCCCAGCTCAAAGCCTAGGCAAAGGACACCAAGACAGAGCTCAGTGCAATGTCACCAGGGAGCAGTGGTTCCTGTTAAACCCAGCCTTTCCTCGCTATGCTACCAGTCCCAACCTGGCCTTCCCAACAGGCCAGAAGAGCCAGAGGTGCACTGGGCCACAGAGGCCCAGATATGTCTTCCTGAGTGTGGAAACATGCTTCTCGTTCACTGTACGTTGCCATGTTCAGCCTGATGTGGTCCAGGAAGCTATCCCAAAGACAACCTGTGGACACTACATAGACCATCAACCGGAAAGACCCCTGAAAATTTGTGCAAAGCTCCTGAGAAAGGGTGGACACAAGCCCAGAGGCAACTCCCCGTATGTGGGCCTGACCCAGGAAGAGGAATTAAAGGAAGTACGCTGGCTTCAGGTAAGCATGTCCCTGTGGAGTCACAGAACCTCAACACAGGGTTCCTGGGGTACAGCCAGGCTTCGTGCCAGGTGGTCAGTGGCTACATACTGCTATAGACTCCACTAGACTCTCTGTCCGGACTGTCTGAGGCTGGGCTCCAGGGGAAAGAGTTTAGGTGTCACAAAGCAAAGCAAACAGCCCTTCCCTGAGATGCCTGTTGGACCATGAGGGACACGACCTCATCTTCCAATGTCTCTAGAAAGAAATGGTCCCACCACAGTTCCTCAGGGCCATCCTGGTATCTCTGTCCTCTTTCCCGATCTCTGAGGTTCCCTGTCCTCCCAGACCCTGAGGCACCCCAGTGAGCACCCCACCCACCTAGAACCCCATACTCCGAGAGGGAGCTATTACACACGGTGTAGGGGGCCTGGTTAGGCCACAGGTGATTCATTGGGACACATGTCCTCCGGTCAACTTCCTGGTCGTGAAGAACATGGTGTCGGTGGCTGGGGAGAGAGAAATCAGGATAGGGACAAGAGCAGGTAGATTGTCACCTACTCCAGACAGGGGCAGCAGCAGATAGGCAGGTCTTGTTACTGTCCCAGAAAAACCTGTAAGGACCTAAGGAATGGTCACATCAAGAAGGCTGCCACAGCAACATGAGGTGCACTGGGCCACAGAGGCCCAGATATGTCTTCCTGAGTGTGGAAACATGCTTCTCGTTCACTGTACGTTGCCATGTTCAGCCTGATGTGGTCCAGGAAGCTATCCCAAAGACAACCTGTGGACACTACATAGACCATCAACCGGAAAGACCCCTGAAAATTTGTGCAAAGCTCCTGAGAAAGGGTGGACACAAGCCCAGAGGCAACCTGCACAGCTTCCTGCCTGCCAGCTGCCCAGAATAATGAGGGTGCCGGACCTAGATCTGCAAGTTAGAGCACCTCCTGTCTCAGCTTCTCAACCACAGAGGGAACCAGTGAGACCCACCTTGCCAGCATCCCAGAAGCAAGGTAGTGCTTGAGACCCCAGCAGGCCACACCCTCAAGGTACCACCTCCTACCTATCCTACCATCTCTTCAACCACCACACCTGCCCTGTCCATGCCCAGAGGCGCTAGGAAGCACTGTGAAGACCCCGTTATAGAATAGTAAGGGGCCACCCAGGTGAGGCCCAAGCCCAGCAGCCGCTGGCTGCCTGGATCCCAAGCCGAAAAAAGGCTGGCAGAAATGAGCTTGGGGAATAGAAAAATGGCCTGTGGTCCTGGAAGCCAATGAGCATGATACTGAGTAAAGACTCTGAAGTTTTAGGGCACCAACCTAAAAGAAATATGAGTCCTCACTCAAGAAGCGAGGCAGGAAGCGCGGGCTGACGGTGGTCACCAAATTAGAAATAAAGGCTCCTGAGGGCCACAAATGACCACCAGCTTGGGCCAACCAGAAAGGGACCCAGTAGCCATCTAAAAACCTGGCCAGGGCTGTGGATGTAGCCAGATGACTCTCCTCCCAGGGGTTCCCAGAAGAGGCAGAGCCAGGTCTACTTCAAATCTCTGGCGCTAACCCTGGGGTGTTTGTGTTTTGCTGAGGTCCAGGGGAGCAGGGCCCAGGCTGCCTCAGCCTCACCTGAATGTACCCCTCTCCACATCTTGGCCGCTGAGCCGCACATGGATGCCCTCCTTCAGCAGGGAACCAAAAGCCATGTACTCTGCCAACGCCCAGTCCACTGTGCGCTTCTTGGTCATGTCTGCGCGGCCACGCAGGATTCGAGAGAGGCCTGTCAGAAGGGGACCCAGGAGAATGGTTCAGCCACAGGCATGGACCTTGGGGTGAGTGCTCAGTGAGAAAGCAGTCCCTGCTGAGTCTCCTCCCCTCCCCTGCTGCCAGACCATGGCTGATCTAGGCTTCCTCTCCAAAGGAGGAAGCAGTAACAATCTCCTGGAGGATGGTTCCTGCTCTCCAGCAGAGGAGACTGAGGCTAAAGCATGCCTCAGCAAGACCCCTGCAATGCGCGCAGACTGCAGCACTAAGTCTGGATGCCAGCAGTGGGAGCCTCACACAACTGTGAGAGAACTGCCCACAGAAGCTATCCAGAGGAGACACAAACTTGACACTCTAGCCACGAGGTTCCAAGCTTCTCAAACAGAAACTCGTGGCCACAGCTAAGGGGCTACAGTCAGCGACCACCTACTAGCCGGGCTCAAAAGACATACCTCTGGCATAAGCCTGGGCTAGTGGCACAGCCATGTTCTCGTTGCCAGCAGAATTCTAACTACATTCCGGGTTCTCCCCTACACCCTCACACAGGCCCCTGCTTCCCTGTTTTCCTACATGGCCCAGGGTTACCCTAGGAACTGCAGATTCAAGGTACCAATTTAGGACCTCACCCTGGCACCCAGCTGGGATGTGGTGTCCACAAATTCCTAACTCTCCACATCCTGGCGGAGAAGCTGGTAAGATGGGAAGGGCCCACAGGAAGCTTTGAGAGCCGAACCAGGACACCAAGAGCTGGCTACATAGGAGCGTGCCACAAGCCCTGTCTCCCTTGGGATCCCAAATCTCCCCGCAGGACAGTGTCAGCTCTGAGAGTGACCGTGTGGGAGCTTAAACAGCAGCCTTACCTGTGTGGATCTTAAAGTCCTCCAGGGGCACAGAGCTGGCCACGTTGCCAATGTGGGTCAGCATGTCCTCGGGGATGCCCGTGGTTGGGCACGTCATGCTCTTGGGCTCGCCATCCACGTTGAAGAAGCCTGAGGGGACAGACTCCATTGTTCATACCCTCGTGGTGATGGGACTCCAACAGCCCCGATCAGTTTTGGGTCCAGGGATAGAAAGGCTGGCTTACCCCCAGAGGCATCAACGTACACCCTTGGGGCCCGCCACAGATGAAGAGCCACAGCCGTAGCTCCTACACCTGGCCCAGCACTCCCCTGGACGCTGGGGTCATAGCTGACACAGCCTGGCAAGGCACAGGAGGCCACACCGCTCTAATGCCACCTCCTCCACACTTGCCTGCCTCTACCTGCAGGAGCAGCTCACACCTGCATGTCAGGGACAAGCCTCCGCTTCTAAGTCTTCGGTGGCTGCTCTCCAGAGCCACCGCAGTCCTGTTCCTCCACAGATGCTCACAACGGATGGCTGAGGTGTGCATGCCTCACTCACCAGGCCAGGGGGAATCCAGCCAGTGTTTTATGTGCAGGATCTTTTTATCCTTGGACCTGCCATACGCCTCCTCACAGATTCGGTCATATTTGGCAATTTCTTCCTAGAGTTGAGAGGAAGGTGTGGACAGACAGACAGATCGGGCATCCGAGTGGGTCAGTCAGCCCAGACCTAAAGCCCCAGTCTCCATCACGGAGTTGTAGAACTCTCTATTCCTTGGTTCATAGGTCAGATGCATGTCAGAGGCCTCGACCTCAGAGTTCAGAGCGGCCCTGGGGAGATACTCCAAAGCCTGATGAGGCTGGCATGTGCCCCAGGAGAGCCAGGGAGACAGAGGAGAGACTCAGACCTTGTTCTCAGAGGCTTTAACATGTCCACAGACAATTTCAGGCATGATCCCAACGTAAGCATAACCTCTTAGGGGACCCTTGCAGGACATCCCTACAGAAAGACCTTTTTCCTGTCTGAAACTGGCCTTCTCTCATTTCACAGCGCACACCTAGCTATAACCATGCCCTTAATCCTGTGCCCTGTTAAAACCTGGGACTTTTGGAGACGAGGAACATCAGCTACTACTTTAAATCTTCAACGTCTAGCACCAGGCTGATGTCACCTGCAGCCATCCCACGTTCCCACTCTGAGGACACTGAGGACATGTGTTCCAGTGCCCAGAAGTCCTGCCTGCTTACCTCAAACTCCTGCAGCGTGACCGTGCCCTCAGCGATGAGCTTGTCCGCATACTTCTTCAGCACGGGCACCTGCTTGTGGATCTGCTTGTACATGAGCGGCTGTGTGAACATGGGCTCATCCATCTCATTGTGGCCACGCCGGCGGTAACAGACCTGTCCGGGCGGCCAGGGGGTTCAGTCCCTACTACAGGCACATGCAGGCAGGCCCCAACCTGAAGCATCCCGAAGGACCCGTTCTCACCTGTCTCTGAATGAATGCTCTGTGCCCCAGCCTTTGCACAGGTGGCTGGTTCTTGGTTGACACTAGCTCTCAGTCTAAAAGCACTTCTAGCCCTTAGTGCTGAAGCTCTAACCAGCTTGGCACACCAGCATTGCTCTGGCCCCAGCACCCTCAAATACACCAAGCTTGATCAGCAGAGCAGAAAGAGCTCCCATCCTGTCTCTAGCCCCCACATTTCCAAATCACCTGGTTTGTTTGGTTCCAGCAAGGCGGGGCTAACTAAGCCTGCTCTAGCTCTAGAACCAGCACCCTCAAACACACCCCACTTTCTCAGCAAGGCAGGAACTGACTACTCACCCTACCCTTGCTCCAGCACCCCCAAATGCCATCATAGCCGGCAAAGCAGGAATAAGCCACCTACCCCAGCCCTGCCCTGGCCTCAGTCAGGACCCAGACCTACCAGGTCTACAACAACGTCTTTGTTGAAGGTGTTCCTCCACTCGGCTGCCACACTGCACACATACATCACGGCCTCCGGGTCGTCTGCGTTCACGTGGAAGATGGGGGCATTGACCACCCGCGCCACGTCAGTGGGGTAAGGTGAGGAGCGGGCCATTCGGGGGTCTGTGGTAAAGCCAATCTGCAAGAGCAGGAGGAGCCAGATGTGCCCCTGATGTGCGTCCTTTTTTGAGACAGGGTTTCACTAGGTCCGGGCTCCAGTAATCCTACTATCTTAGCCTCTAGAGTAGTTGGAACTACTAGCATAAACCACTGTGCCCAGATTCCTGCCTACTTTGGGCTAGACAGATGATGACAGATAGGTCAAGGAGTGGGGGAGGGGGCTCTGCCAGGGTGCCTAGGACATACAGGAGACATGAAGGGGTGTGTGACAGCAGCTGGCTTTGGGGCAGCTCTGGCAGCAGCAGGGAGGCTACGCTGTGCTTCTACCAGTCCCTTTGCTGTGCGGGTACATAGGCCTGGGCATTCGATCCACCAGAGTGACTGTGGAGCTCCAGGCAAGATGTTTCAGTTCCCAACTGCAGAGTCTTCATCTATAAGGAAGTCTTATTAAAGTCCTGCCTCGGAGCAAAACTCAAGAAAGATTAAATGCCGCCGCAAATGAGGCAGAGAACACGGGGTTTCTAACTGGTATTAACCTCAGCTGCCTGGAAGGAGAAGAACATGACTGCCAACCCAGACCAATGTGCTCAGGGGAGCTCAAGGTGACCTACAAGCCCTGTGCTGTGCCCCTTCCATCCTGGCCACATCCTCTATGCTGCTAAATACGGGTATCTCCAAGTGCCTGTGGGAATATTTCTCAGGACCCCCCCCCCCGGCTCAGATACAGAATTCTACAGTATATGCATATAAGCTATCTGTCACTATACCTTGAGTTACCTAGTATAATGTAAATAGTCACTATACTATAGAGAACAAGGGGGAAAAGCCCATCCATGTTTTGTACAGGATTAGTGGCTTTTTTTTTTTTCTGATTACTTTTGTGTGTATGATTTAGCACAAGGCCTGCGTGTGCTAGACAAGCCTTCTCCTTGGATTTTCTGAGACAGAGCTCACTATATAGTTCAAACTGTCCATGTATTCTTGAAGCCCAGTGCTGGAACGGCGGGCAGGCAGGACCACACATGGTCTGAAATATTTCGGACATAGTCAACTGAGCCTGTGGATGTAAAACCCCCAGGTGCAGCGGTTATAAAACTGTTATAAGCTGGGTGCAGTGGGGCACACCTGAGGCAAGTGAGTCTCTGAGTTCGAGGCCAGCCTGGTCTACAAAGTGAGTCCAAGACAGCCGAGACTACAGAGAAACCCTGTCCTGAAAAAAACAAAACCATCTATAAATGTATGTGTGTATACTACATACATGTACGTGTTATGTCTCTATCAATTTCTCAGATAGGACACGGGGCTGGGGCGTAGGGTCGGGTTCCCGGCCTGGGGTTCCACGCTGGGCTAGGGATCGGTTCTCTACCTGAAGTTATGTGTGTTGGTAAGTTGCAGGACAGTGGGATGAACATCAGGGCTGCCTCACCTTTCCCACCAACCCACAGGCTGGACTTCAATGAATGCAACCTGGCATGGAGCCCACACCCTTACCTGGTTGTTGACCACAACATGCACTGTGCCGTTGGTGGTATAGGAAGGCAGGTCACTCAGATGGAAGGTCTCATAGACAACACCCTGGCCAGCGAAGGCGGCATCTCCATGGACCAGGATGGACATGACCTAAATGGCAGGGGATAAGCCAGCAGGATCCTGTACCCAGCCTATGAAGCCCACCCTACTTCCTCTTCCATCCAGGATCCATGCCCTCAGTGTCTAGTCTCTCAGAGCCCTACTCCCAAAGGCTAACCTTCAGGTGCCACCCTATGGACCCAGACAAGCTCACCTTCCTGCCCTGAGCATCGCCACGGTAGAACTGCTCTGCCTTTGTCTTCCCCTGTACCACAGGGTCCACAGCTTCCAGATGGGAAGGGTTGGCTACCAGCGACAGCGTGATGTTCCTGTTGGTGACACGGTTGATCCTCTCGTGGTACATACCCAGATGGTATTTGACATCACCAGAGCCCTGAGGGTGAAGATGGGATATGATGAACCTGCCACCTCCCATGGGGGTAGACAGGCAGGCCACAATCGCGCTGAGCCAACTTGCTAGGCTTCTTGGAGCGTACCAGAGCTCAATGGCTACCTTACTACTCACACCAATGAGTTCAGAGGCACAGAAGTGCTGGAGGGTATTTTAGGATCTGGGAGTAGAGAAAGCTTAGGTCCTAAACAACATATAACGTCCCAATGCAGTAAGACAGCTAAGCCGGGACCAATCTTCCATTAGCAAAGGGAAGAAAATCAAGACACCGTACCACGGGGGAAAACAAGCTGATCCATCAAATGCAGGGGAAGAGCTAATTGCTCTCAACACACAAAGTGGCTTTGGAAATTAGTAAAGTCAAGTCCCAAGAAAAGTGAACAAATGTTCAGGGGTGCACATCTGTAATCCCACACTCCGGGAGGCAGAGGCAGGGGGGTCTCTGTGAATTCCAGGCCAGCCTGGGCTACAAAGCGAGTCCAGGACAGCCGAGGCTACACAGAGAATGAACAAAAGCTATGAAGGGGACTTTACAGAACAAGAACCACTGAGAGTCAAAATACTCAGATCATTCATATCAAAAAATATGTTAAGAACAAACAATTTTGCACCTATCCTACTGGCAAAGGAAAAACAAGAGATGGTAACAGCTGTGGGAGGCGCGTGTGGGAGGGCCCAGGGGAGGCTCCGAGGTGTCCGCTCCAGCACTTCTCAGACACCTCCTAACAGCAACAGTCATGTGCTCACACGTGCTCGTGACAGCAGGCACAGCCCTGACACAGAACACGCAGCTGCGAGACGCCAACAAAGCAAGCTCATTCCGTGCTGGGACAGTGACAACTTGGCGAGTGAAACAGCCAAGTACCCACAGTGCCCCGAGCTGTTCTCATGGCTCCTGGACAAACACATGTGTCTGCAGAGAACACACCTCACCACAAATGCAGGCAAGCACACACGGACACACCGCAGGAAGGAAGTATCACAAAGAAAATCACTTCATTGCATCAAACTTTCTTTAAATAATGTTCAATTTCTTTTCCAATTTCTATTTTTCCTTCCAACAATATTTACATTTTTTTTAAAAAAAAGGTAGATTTAAACAGTGCCCCTCAGCCAAAAAGTTCAGTTTTGTTCTCCTGAAAGCTCTCTTCAGTTCCTCACAGCACTCTGGGGCATGTGTCTTTGTGACGATTCTATGGAGGAGCAAACAGTGTGAAGGCGGCCAAGTGACATGAACAAGATGCAGGAAGAGCCTGCTAAAAGGCAGCCATGTGGGCCCAGGGCCATGTGTCAGCTGCTCTGGGACCAGCTACTCTAACCAGCCTGTGCTGGGTGGTAAGGCCTTGGAGACAAAGGTCCTCCCCTCGTTCTTGAATGGAAAACAGATGCACACAAGACATGGATGAATACATAGGGTTACAGTGCATGAGCGCACACACACACATACCACACACACAAAGATATACACACAAACACATACACAGAGATATACACATACACACACCACACACACACACTCACACAAAACACACACCGGGGGGAGGGGCGTGTATGAAAAAGGCCAGAGAAGAGAAAAAGCAAAGGGACCAGATGAGGGAATGAAAGACAGAGCAAGAAATTCAGATCCAGCCTTGAACAAGGCAATGGAGAGAAGGAGGGCAGTAGGGCCAAGGGCTCGGCATAGCCAAGAGCCTCATCAGCATGCAAGCCACAGGGTGGGAACAAGAAAGCATGTCCTTGGCTGCTGGGCCAAGGGCACAGGAAGCCATCCATCCACCCATGCCTCTCTGGAGCCAACAAGCCAGTTGAGGCTGATCAAAGGACTGTGTGCCCAAAGTCTCAGCAACAGAATCTCAAGGCAGAAGCTTTTGGGAGGCCCCTGCCCTTCTCTGGGATGCAGTTTCTCTAGTTGGAAACTTATGGTGGGCCCGGATTATCCAATGCGGCACCTACTCCCCAAAGCTTCAGGAACCTTCCGTAAGCATCCCAGCCCGGGACTCTTTCCATGTCTGCCAACCTGGGGAGCTCAGGTCCCAAACTCTCCCAGCCTACCTCCCAAACCCCAGGCCCTCTCAGGGGCGCCCCAGGACCAGCGTGTGGCACCCACCTCATCTGCTGCTTCCAGCTTGGGATCAAACTGACAGAAGATCTGCTCCAGGTCCTTGCGGATCACGTTGGCCAGCACATTCAGCCTGCCCCTAAGATCAAAATGTCCTGGCCATCACCTGACGCCATGGTCACCCTCCTACATCGGTCCCTACCTGCCATAGGACCTATCAGAACCCTTCCTGCTGGCCTAATCATGTAAGGCCCAACCCTCCCATCCTGACTCAATACACCAGGGGCATGAGTAGTTCCAGTCAGCCAGCTTCCTTCAGGCAGACTCCCTGAACATTAGTGATTCAGAAAGCCTTCTGGGGAGGGGCAGGAAGCCACGTAGGATGTCCCCACTCATTCTCCCAGAAAAAAACAAAACAAAACAACAACAACAAAACTGACCCAAGCCATTATCCTGGCACGCTCCCCCTCCCCCCAACACACACACAGAACTTAATACACTCAGACTTTTCAGAGCTGCTCACGTGCCCCTCTGGCCAGCCAGCAGCAGCTTTGAGCAGGACAGGGCAGAGAGCACCCAGATCAGGGGAGAACACTGAAGAAACAATAGGCAACCACGGAGGGGATTCTTCAGCCCGGCCTGAAGTTCCCATCCAAGGCAGTTACTTCAGGGTGGACACCAGCCTCACAAGAATACAAAAGAGACTCAAAAAACTGTCCTCGGAGCCCACTAGCTCAGGGAAACAGTGACCCTAAGCCTGACTCCCAGCTCCACACAAGAAGGGAGAGCCTCCTCCTGGTCAGTTTCCTGCCCCCTGCCCCCCCACCTCCAACTCCAATACACACACACACACACACACACACACACACACACACACACACATCCAAAGAACATTCCTCAAGTGCTCTGGGCAAAGCCCTCCACAGCCCCAGTTTAACATTCACAGCGTGGAGGCCTGAACTGGCCCAGGAGGGCCCCTCTGATCAGAGTGCCCTCCAGGCAAATGCCCACCCAGCAGGTGTCTTAGCCACCTCCATCTCCCAGGTGCCCCCTTCCCCTGATCTTTAATAGCCTGAGGCATGAGGCCATGTGATCCATGCCACTGTGACTACTGGGACAGCTCTGCCTAACCTCCCACCAGACACGGAGCATTTCCGGACCCCTCAAAGGACCATGACAGATGAACCTCAGACTCCTGGCTGGCCGGCAGAGACAGAAACTGCCCACACCATGTGTCTAGAGTCTCTTAGGTACTACAGTCCTATGCTAGGCCAACCACATGCAGATTTCTAGATCACAGCAGAGCTTTCTCCCACAGCTTTGCTGGTGAACGAAACTCTGAAGACTTCATCAAGGGGGACACCGAGTCACCTGACAGCTGGGACAGACCCTCCACCCATCTCTACAGACTTATGTCCAAGGGATGACAACTCAGGGCCATCCACCCTCACAGCTCTAAGCACATGCCCTTGACAACGTTTATCCACAGGACTTTGAAGTAGGTGTCCCAACAGTCCGAGGTCCTGCCCATCCTGGAGAAAGCAGCAACATGACCAGAGCACCTGACTGGGCCCTGGCCACGTGAGGCTTTGGCCAAGCATCTGGCTCTTGCTGTAAAGAACAGCCCAGACCAGGGCCCTAACACGGTCCACTTTTTGCCTCAAGCCTTACCAATGCCCCTCACCCCGACTTCCACCTCCTCTCCTTCCTCAAAGCAAGCACGGGTGGCAAGGGGAGATCAGACACGCTACCTGTGTGGCATCCCCAGGATGACATTTTCAATCCCCATCTCACTGGATTTGTCGATAATGGTCTTGAGTGCAGGGATCATGACCTCACAGCCTTCCAGGCCAAACCGCTTCTCCGAAGACCACTTCCTGGCCAGGAAGTCTTCAAACCTGTTTGAGGAAAGGGAGAAGAGAAGGGAAGGGTTAGAAAGGGATGAATCTGGGATTCCTGGGGGCTTTTCACAAGCCATGGAAGCTGAATGCCCAGGACACAGGAAGCACAAAGTCACTTCCCCCCTGTACAGTCCAGGACCCGTCCTGGACGCCATGTCACACTTACCCAACAAAAAAGAAAGAAACACACACACACACACACACAAAGCAAGGCATCCTGGGAGTCCTCCCAAAGCCTTAGCTGGCACCCATTCCCTGATAACACTCTTTCTCCTTCACAGCAAACTTCCCCAAGAGACAATCCTTCAGGAGGATTGGCTGCCCCACCACCCTCCCACAAGCCCGAACACCTCTACCGTGAAAATGCCTAAGTTGAGCCCACACCCCGCTGCTCAGAAAGTCACTTAGCAGCCAGCAGCCAAGCCAGGTGCGCCTCCAGTCCCCTGTAGCTCTAAGGGCCCCTTTTGCCAAGGCATCAGTAGGTAGCATTCCTCTGCCCCTGCCAGGGTGCCATCGCATTCACCCATGGCAGGGACAGTTCAGGGACAGTATTCTGTCATTGCCATTCCCACAGCCACACTGTTACTTCTGCCCATGCTCCGTGTGACCCCCACTGCAGTCCCACCCGAGCCCACCCAGGAGGCTCTGGCCGGTCACATTAACATATGGTCCTGATGCTTTGCCTAAGGGCTTCTGCAGGCCCCCTGTGGTGGGAGCAAGTCGGCCTGACCTTCCTTGCTAGGCCCTGCTGGTTTGCCAGCCAGGGGTACCGCGCATGGCCCTCCAGCCAGGCAGGCTACCCATCAGGTGGTGCTGACCTCATGGAACGCACCAGCCTGGCCAGCAGGGTCCGCTTCTCCTCACTGGAAAACTTCATCACGCCAGGAGTCTCGAATTTCTGTCGGATCCACTGGCACTGCTCCACGTCGTTAATAAACATGAACTCCAGGCCGATGTGCTGGCAGTAGGTGCTCTGAGAGGGACAGGTGGAAAGTCTGTGAGGAGCCGGCCAGCGGGGTGGCAGTCCCCGAGCCTGAGACTGAAAAGAAAGCACCCTCCTTCCCTCCCCACATGGTCAAGAGCTGCAGAGCTGAGCCGGACACGCCTTCCCGGGCTCACCTCCAGGCGACGGATGATCTCTCGCAGGGAGAGTGTGCTCTCCGAGCCCCCGATGAAAGTAGTGGTGGGCAGCTGGAACTCCTTGTCCAGGTCAGCCTCCTGCAGGTCATAGAAGGCTGGAAGCAGAGGAAGAAGGAATGAGGTTGGGCTGGCAGATGGAGAATAGTATCCCAGCAGTCCCCGAGGCACCCACCCTGCAGGCCTATCTGGAGCCCGAACCTTGGTCAGTGAGAAGAGGAAGGGAGGACCCACCGTGAGAGTGGATTTGGACAAGTGGTGAGCCCTAGTGCAGGTGGGAACACATCCCTCTTGGGCTCACTGTACAGTAGTAGCTGGACCCACGCAGAAGGAGTCACACAGACCCAGAGGTACGCAGGGCTCAAGCTAGGCTCCAGGCCCCAAAAGCTCCTCACTGGGCCACAGGCACCAGCTGGCACAGCATGACATTGCTAGGGTGACAGGGAACACTCCCAACTCTTACCCAATTTATCAATGGTTGTGATCAAGTCTGAGGGCACAAAGGAGTCCAGGTCTGCATCCAGGATGCCCAAGGGGTCCAACTGGGCCACGTGGTGGCCTCGGATCTAGAAAGAGGGAAAATTATAAAGCTGGACAGATCTTTATTCCAAGGCTCAGAGCTCACCCCACTTCCAGCTATGGACTTCCAAGGCATCACACACCCTACTGGGCTGGCGCCTGTATATCCCCCAATGGCAGATGGATAGTTCAAAGATACAACACGAGGCTGGCAAAAATAAACAAAGACCTATACGTGAAGCTACATACTATACACTGTTAGTAAGTGTGGATTTCCAGAAACTTCCAAAGTGTCTGGCATAACCAGGAAAATATACACAAGAGCGAGGAAAATTTCCACCTGCTACTGTGAAACTGACTCCACAATCTCCCATACAAGCCCTGGTGCATGCACATAAACAACAGTAATTTAAAAAATTGTAATTAAAAGGTTGAGTAGAGGGTTTTAAAAATTAATACATATAGGCATTAGAAGAAATCATAAACTAAAAAGAAACCAGAAAGTATGAAAAATGATGGTACACAGATATGAGACAATATAGGAATTGTAAAAATTGGATTGAAAGAATAAGATGTCAAAGAATCAGGCTTTTAAGAATGTCTTATTTTGAGGATTTGACTTTGGAACTTTATAAATATTTTAACTATAAAACTAAATTAAGATTTAACACTGGTATAAGGTGTAACAAACAGTAATACATCCACAGCAGCACATCTATGCAGAGAAGAATGATTGTGTTTGACCAATGGAATATTCCCTAAGGACAAACAGGGAGAGATTCATAAACTCTCCTATTGCCAATCAGTAGCATCAGAGGGGAATTGTTATTCTAAGCCTGTTGCATGCGGGCTATGGAAACATCACATAAGCCATGGCACTGGCATCTCTGAGAACATCTATTGTTGGCATCTTTGAAAGGAGATGGTGGCATAAGATGGATGAGGTCAGACCCTTAGCCCTGCATTTGAAGTATACAGCTGAATCAGAATAAATCCATAATGCATGTTATCTTTCTAAAAAGCAAATACTTCCCAGCTCTGATCACTGCAACTGACGAGACTGATAAAAAAACATTCTCAGAACTCCCGGGAAGCCTAGATGGTTCTGGAAGGGGAGAATATACAAGACTATTCACGTTATTTCTCTGTTGCTATAATAAAACACTGACCAAAACCAACTTGGAGAGGAAAGGGCTATTTGGCTTACACATCCACCAAGAAGCCAGGAATTCAGGGCAAGAACCTGGAGGCAGGAACTGAAAAGGACCAGGGAGAAGACTCAATGCTTGCTGGCTTGCTCAGCTATCTTTCTTAGATAACTGAGACCCACTGCCCACTGTGCACTGTAGGCTGGGCCCTCTTATATCAATCAGCAATCAAGAAAATCCTCCACAGACATGGCCACACGCCATCCTGATCAGGGCAATTGCTCAGCTGAGGTTCTCTCTTCCCAGATGTGTCAAGTCGACAAGGGAAGCGAACTCTGACAAAGACTGAGTTGGAAACTGGCATGGTGGCACACGCCTTTAATCCCAGCACTTGGGAGTTAGAGGCAGGTGGATCTCTGTGAGTTTGAGGCCAGCTTAGTTTACAAAGGGAGTCCAGGACAGCCAAGGCTACACAGAGAGAAACCCTGTATTGAAAAACAAACAACAACAACAAGACTGACTTGGAGCATATTAGACCAGAGAGCAGAGGGGTCTAACCATTGCCAAGGCTGAGAATGAGGACACACAGTAAGCAGTGTGTAAGTGTACACAATTTGCAACAGCCCGGAATTCTTCTGATACGCTTAAGAGCGTTCATTCATATGAAACTATAAAAAGAAGAAAGCTGGGTATGGTGACGCAGGCTTGTAATCTTAGTAATCATAAGGTTGAGGCAGGAGGATCAAGAATTCAAAGCCAGCCTAGTCCACAGAGGGGGAGAGAGGGAGGGAAAAGGGGGGGAGGGGGAGAGAGATGGGGAAGAGGGGGGGAGAAAGAGAGAGAGAGAAGAGGAGGATGGTGACAGCCTTCACTGGTTACTTATGAAGGATGCACAGAACAACATCATATTTTTGAAAGTCAGTTAATAGGAAGAACGATAAAGATAAAATGCACACAGAAGCACTACGCTGGGATAAGGCCAGATAAAGGCCATCAAGCAGCATACCAGATGTTAACCTCAGTACAATATAGTTCTAGTTTGGCTTTCCTTGTTCCCTTCTTCCTTGTTGAGAGCCATCATGAGATCACTCTGCCTCTTTCTCCCAGTCAAGAAAACACAATGAACTGGAAGGTCCCTTCTTGGAAACACTTGGGACCAGCAGCATTTGGCATTTCACACTCTTCTTGATTTGGGGACATTTACAGACATAATAAGATCTGTTGCAGACAGGACTCAAGTCTAAATGTGAAGTTCGTTCGTTTCACCAGCACCTTCTATGCAGAGCTGAAACGTGCTTTTGTACCAATGTTCCTAGGATGTCTGTGTTCTGAATATGACCCATCACATGAGATTAGGTGTGGAGTTTTCCCCTTAGGACACAACACTGATCTTCAAAAAGTCTTAGATTTTGGAGTTGTTCAGGTTTTGGGTGGGGTTTTTGTTTGTTTGTTTATTTGGGTGCTCAACTGGTACAACAGTTACTGTACTGCCTGAAGCCCGCTGCCCACGGGTCCTCCGGCCAGGGAGAGGCCGCTGTCATCCTTGAGCACCAGGTGCCCAGGGAGCTCACTCCACACTCCCACACAGAGGGTGCCTAGTGGAAGACAGCACGTTGTTTCCATTTGATCATGCCATGGTATTCCCAGGCCCATGTAGCAGCTTGCCGCTCCCTCGCACCAAGTCTCTTCAAGGGCCCGGGACCCCTGGGGTTACCCTCTGTGTGGAACGTTTGTTTCCCTTGTGAAATGCCTTCTGCTACCAGTTCCCACAGAGCTCCTCAACGATTGTACCCATAACAGCGCCGACACCAGCACAGCCCTCCAATTAGTGCTGTTCAGAGAACATGGACCATCACCAAGACACACTGCCAAAGACCGGGCCCAGCCTAGGGACTCAGTGTGAGCGAGCCTAAGCCTCCAGAATGAGCAGCTGGCGGGGGAGCTGCGTCTGGTACTTCATTAATTCACGCCTTCTTCGGTAATGAAGCTCCTGCTGCAGGCAGCCCCCATTCTTGGAACGCCCAGACTAGAGACTGGCTATCGAGGATCAGAGCGCCCCATAGTCACTTAACGCTAAATGCGGCAGATCACCTACTAAGTGTTCCTCTAGGTCCATAGGGTGTCTCATGCAAGATGAACAAACAGCAGGAAGAAATAGACAGGCCAGCAAAACAACATACTCAAAAGCTCTCCACGGTATGTAACAAAGGCTGGTTCCCAGTGGAAGTGCCATTAGAGCTCAGACTCCCTGTCCACCCCCCCCCCCCCCCCGCTTCCTCCTCACTCTCACCTGGTAGGCACGGATCAGGGACTGCACTGCCAGGTGGTCCTCTACCAGCTTGCTGGTCTTGGTACAACTTGAGACGGACGGTCTGCTGTCTTGAATGACAGCTGGGGGCTGTAGCTGAGCGGGACCCAGAGAGGCCTCCTTCCTTGCTCTCTGGAAGAAGCTGTCCCAGGACTGAGTAGGGAAGAAAGAACCCAGCCAGGTCAGGATCGCCAGAGCATTCAGGGTTGGTGGGAACCATAGTGCTAAGGGACTTTTCCAGAGCCTCCATTCAGGGGGCCCTCTCTGCTAACCCAGGCCCTTTATACTGCCCAGCTCTCCTCAGGATGTGGGTTCAGTTATGACAGGCGTTTGCCCTGGCGAAACACCTGTAGCAGACATAGATCACAAGATCTATGCATAATTTTTTTTTTTGAGACGGTAATCCCATGACTGGTAACTTATCCACAAATGTCCTTATACAAGTGTGTCCAGATGCTCTCTTCAGGCTTATTCATAAAAACAGTGATGTCCAGACAACCTAATAGCCAGACAACTGGCTGACTAAATGAATGCGGAACCTGGAAAGCTCTGCAGTCCTCTGGGAAAGGGTATGTTATGTTAGGGTAGACACAGCGCGCTACCCACAAGTGCTGCGAGGGGGGCAGGGCTGGAGAGAGAGTGCGGACCTGCTGCCTCACGGAGACGCAAGATCAGGCATGCACACACCCAGATACTTCTGTCCCAGGACAGCAGAGTGACAGCGCCGTCCTGGGGTGAGGCTGCTGCCCGGGCTCCTGGGAGAAGCCTGTCTCCACTGTGTGAGGGGTCCAGGACTCAATGGCCTGGCCCCCATTCTCAGCACCACAGCAGTGGGGTGGGGGTGGGGAGACTGCTTCCCTCTGCTCACTTCCATGTGATACTGGTGGGGAAACTAGTTAACAATCCTCGTGGAAAGCAATTTAAGAAAACATATCAAAACTGTACCCACATGTATCTCAGACGTTGGAAAAGTCTTCCTACAGTCAGCTGTGCACACACACACACACACACACACACACACACACGTGTACTCTGCTGCACTGTTCACAGCAATGGAGAGAGTTGGTGGATCAGAAGTCTATTACTGGGGACAAGGTGACTTCCATGGGATAGAATACTACAGAGAAACAAACAGACAATGGGCCTCTTCATGTTCTGACATGAAAAGAGCTGAAAGAGGCAAGTGAAACAAAACAACAACAAAACAGGATTGTTACCTGTCACTCTGATGGAAACAGAGGAGAAATCCTTTTATGTTTGCAAAAGTTTACAGAAAGGAAAATCTCAGAAAGAGAAGAAACTGAAAATAAATCCTGTGCTGAGCTGAGAGGAACCTCTTGATTTTTCATACTTCCTGAGTCTGGATCATGTGACTGTTCACTTTTCTCCCATTTCACTTTTAGTTATCAAGGGGCATTAGTTTATCAGATGATACATCTATTGGCATTTATTTTCTTAATTTTATCCTAGGAGCCATCTGGAGAGAACTCTGTACAGCCAAGCAGGGCAGGTCTCTGGCATGTTGGGCAGGGCATCTTCATGGTCTGTCAGGTGGGACCACCTCCCACCAGAGTTTCATCAGCAAGAAAGCAAGATCTTGGCTGCTTCTCGGAAGTCCCTCCCTCCCCCTCCCTCCCCCTCCCCACCATCCACCCCAGAAGCTCCCCTCCCATAAAACGCAGAAGGCAGGCGCCGACCTTGTGAACACTCTGTGGGTTTTCCAACCAGGCAAAGTACATCTCCTCCACGTAACTGGAGCTGACTGTGCTTCTACTCCTTGGGATGGTAGTCGGTGGCCCAGAGGACCTGCTGCGCCCACTGAACGCTGGGATATCCTGTGTGCCTAGGAGCTTCGTGGCCTGTGGCCCCAACCTGAATGGCAGCAGCCTCAGCTGACTCATTCTGAACATGGATGACGAGGAAGAAGCATAAATCACAGTCAAGAGGAAGCTCAGGTATGTGCTCGTCCCACCAAACGGTGGCCCCAGACTAAGCCACCGTGAGACATAGATGACAAACTCCCGTTCCTTCTAGCTTCCTTTCCTACAGTAACCTTCTCCCCTGCTATCCCCCACACACAACCCTGCTTCAGAGGGTACCTAGCTCAGGCCCTGGAGCCCACACAGAGCTCACAGGACATGTGTGGGCAGTAACCCTCAAAAAGCAGAGGGGCACAGAGCCTACCACTCGGGAAATGGGGCAGGAAGCCTCCAGGCACTGGGTTGGCTGTACACGGTCAGAAAAAGCAGGAAGAGGGTACCGGGGAGCAAAGGCTCAGAAAGATGAGAGAGACAAGAGACACCATCTCTGGAGTCTCTCTCTAATCACTGGCCAGAAAGGACCCTGTGAGTGCAATACTAGGTCGGGGTAGCCTTCCTCCATGGCAAAGGCAAAAGGTCAGGAACACAGGCCTCAACAACAGCCCCACCTCACAGAAGTGAGGACTGAGGGTCCCCTGTGGTAGCAGCAGATGAAAGGCAGCCCGACAGCAGATCCCTGCTGCAGCTGCCTTCTCTGGCTCCCCAACACTGCCTGCAACTCACACTCTGGACAAACACCACCTGAGGCAGCTGTCAGCCCAGGGTACTTAGAGGCCAGAGGCCACCCAGGTCAAGGAAAGACAATACTGGGTTCCCTTCACTTGTCAAATTACCTGCCCTTTCCTGAGGAAGAGGCCTGAATGATGGGCAGGCTTTCAATGGAGAGACATCCTCTCCCTGCTCAATGGAGACGACCTCTCCCTGCTCAGACCCACTGAGGCCCCCGCTGCCCCAGGGTCCTGCCACCACATGTAAAGTGGGACCTCTGTTGTCCTGCCTCACCCCATGGCTTTGACCAGGAGGTCCTCTCCTGCCCTGCCCTGCCCTGCCCAGCCTCAGCCTGACACTGATCAGACCTTCCTACTAACACTGACTAATGTTCTCCTGCCTGAGTAGCTCAAGCTTCAAAGCAGAGTACAACCCTAGAGCCAGTCATGAGAGTCCAGAAGCCCATGAGCTCATTAACCCAGAACACGCATGTTCTAGGGTATAACTGGTTCCCAGGTCCTGGAACTGGCCCTGAGTCAGTACTCCTAGGTGTGTTTGGCCAACTGTCCACCAACTCCACCCCTCCATCCTACCCCTACCACCAGCTAAACCAAGTCAGGACTCCGCTGGCTGGAGTTCCACCAAAGGAGAGCTCTGGCTCTCCTGGACTGCCTCCCCTCACCCAGGCAGACTCACTTGAGCCGGAGCAACAGGTGAGTTCCTCAGTGAAGGAAGGGTGGTCTCCTGAGGTGACCTGCACCAAGTCTGAACAGAGGAAAATTAATAACTCAAAAATACATTCTACTGCAAGGACGCGGGGGGGGGGTGGAGGGGCTGGCAGAACTCCGATCCCCGGGTGACCCAGGATGCCCTCCCACACACTTCAATCCCTGAGCTAATGTAGCCAGGCCCACAGTGAGCCACCTGGGGCTGGGCCGCCTGGGACAGCAGCTTTCCAAAACACTGAGCGTCGGCCCTAGGGTCAGAGAGCTGGGGTCATATCATGAGAACCCAAATAACCATGGGGCTTCAGCATCCACATTCTGCACAGCGAGGGAAATGGATTGTACTAAAAGTAAGGCTACGCAGTCATGTGGTGGAGTCAAGGTGCCCAACGTCCTGAGAGGGGCAAAGAGGTGGGAGGCTGCCCTGGAGAGGGACCGGCTGTCTTTCCCAAGGTCTGACAGCCCACTATCTCCTTGGGGCAATGCCCCAGCTGCCAGCCTTACCCACACAGAGGGATGGGCCGGTTCAGGCCAGATAGGGACAATGCCTGGCTGTATCCAGCCTGGCCCACTGTAGGAACACTGTGTTTTACAAACACAGAACAGTCTGGGCAGCCAGACACTGCTATGGCCTTCACCCAACGCAGCAGGGGAGGCCAGCCATTCCTACCCCCATGCCAGCTGAGTTTGAGGACCCCAGAGCTTTGCTGGGCTCTAAATCTACAGCCAGGGCCCTAGTCAGCCCTGCTAAGTCCTGCCCATAGAGAGCAAGATGGCAACAAGGACCGCCCAAATGTGCCCTGTGGAACTTTCTGGTGGGCAGATCTTGGGGGCACCTTTCTGGAACAATGTCATCCGGTAGTCCCAACCCAACCCCAGAACCAGGACAGGCAACTCGCCACGAAGCCTCCCGCAGTGGTGCTCAGGAGATGGCTGCTCCATAATGGATCTCTCAGGAAAATCAATTAGTAGACGTCAGGGTAGGAAAGGCCCCCTCCCAAGACCTCAGGCAGCAGCAGCAGAGCCTGACTGGAGAAGGCAGAGCTCCAGAGAGCTAGGCAGGAGGGTGGGATCGGGGTCGGGTACAGTGTGTTTTCCTGGCGAGGAAAGGCCAAACTAAAGCCCAGAACTGGGAAAAGTACAAAGGTGGGGGAGGGGGGCTTTGAAGGCTAGTGGTAGCTATTTGGAGAAGAGCAACACAGACCGGTTTGGGCTTCTACCCTCTGGGGCTGTGGGTTTCAGAGCTGGGTCTTTGCAGAGCATAGCCCTTGGGGTCATTCAGGTAAGGCCTCTTAGGGCTTCCATGAGCAGACTGCTTGAGCAAGGAATCTGGCCAGCCTCAAGTTGGAGCCGAGACAGCGGTTAAAAACATGTATAGGGCCTGACCTGGGACTTGGAAGCTGCTTGCCCGTCCCGCCAGATGCTACCGTGTATCTCCTCAACCTCAGTGCTGCCCTGGGCAAGGCCCCTCTCCCCGGAAGGGTACCAGGCAGGCTCCTCTCCAGGCCACTGTGGCGGGTGGGAGGGGGTCTGCAGCCTTCGGGCCAGAAGCCCCACTGTCGGCAAGTCACTCCTTCCCACGAGATCTGCACTCGCCTGCTGAAACGCGCAAAGGACTGGGGGTTCTAAGGAGCGCCGCACAAAGTCAAGGGTGAGACCAAGGTCGCGTCCCCCCTGCCCCACCCCCTCCCCAGGAGCCCGGCTTGAAGGCAGCAGGCAGCGCTGCCCCCGGACCTAGGATCGAGGAGCAGAGGGGCAGGCTCGCAGGACCCGGGGTCGCGCCGCCGCGCTCACCGGCTGGCCGAGATTCCGGGCCACGCGGTCCGGGGGTGGGGGGCTGAAGGTCCGAGGACTGCGCCGAGTGGGGCGAGCAGCGAGCTGTACCAATTACCTAAGTCACGTGACACGGCCGCTGTGAGCGCGCACCCCCGGGATTCCGCGCGTCGTGACGTCTCGGTGGACGCCCCGCCCTGTCTGCGGCCTGCGCTGTCCGAGGTGCTGACCCCCCAGATCCCAGACTACATGTGGGACCCCAAAGAGCCAGGCTCCTCCAGATGGCAAGCAAGAGCCCAGGCCTACCCTGGCTGAGTGACTGGAGACACGGCTGGGCCCATGAACCCCAGTGTCCTCAACTGGAAACTAAGGAGAATGTACCAGAATAAAGCAGACGTGTATGTGTGTTTGCGGGGGAAGATGGTTCCTCTCAATAGCCTGTAAATAGGAATGCTATTAAAAGTTCTGCTGTCTTCAAGCTGTTTTGAAGAAAGAATGAAGGAGTTTGTAAAAACATTTATCACACTGCCCATTCACTTTCTGAGGGACTCTGGCCTGGTACTCCCTCGACTCAGAGCACCATTGCCACAAACTATTACATTTCCCTGCAATAGTGAAATGTAATAGCAAAAGTGCGTGCTTTCTCAAGCCAACAAAACCGTGTCACCTCTGCAGGATTTTTTTACTCCCACTGACCGTACAAGAGGGTTCTTAAGCCCCTGTACCTCAGTGTTGACGTTGTAGTCTTGCCAGAGTAGCAAATGTGATATTTTATTATTGCTTTAATCTTCACTTTTATTACTAGTGATTTGTTGTTTGTCAGTTGGCAGTTTTTCTGTTGTACGTCTGCCTGTTTGGGTTTTTTGGCTTTGCTTATGTTTTTTGTATTGGGTTCTGCTTCATTTGTAAGCAAGTAGTCCTAATACAGTATATACCCCATACCCTTTAACACACTGCACCCGTGGCTGGAAATGCAGCAGCAGTCCTTCACAGGGTTTCTGTAACAGCCCTGGCTGGCTTCTGCGCTTGCATCCCTGAATCCCAATCCAGCATAGCAGCCAGAGATTCCCACAAAGCTGTTTGAGACTCGATGGTCCTAAGCAAACTGTGGATAGTTGGACCCTGTGTTTTTGAGTGTCCAATCTGAAGGCTCCTACTTCACCTAAAACCATAATCAAATGAAATGTTTATGTTTTTTCTCTTACTCACCCGTCCTTGGTTATGGGGATTCTCTGCGTCCTTTGTGAGGAGAAGAAAGGAGATCATCCCTTTTTTCTTCCCTACAAGGTAATAAATACCTACAATCCCAGCACTGTGGAGACGTGGCAGGATAAGGCCAGCCTGAAATACACATTGAGAACTTGTCTCACAACAACACTCAGATTCTGTCCAGGAGGCCCTGGGCAGCTCTGAGTCTCAGGTTTGCATCTTTGAAGTCTTTCTCTGGCGACTTGGAGAAGACAAGGGGAGAAATGTAAGAATGAGCATTGTCTGAGTGGGAGGCAATTACGCACTGCTAGGATGAGGCAGCGGCAGTTGGGAGCCACTCTGGGAGATGGGTGGGTGTGGCAGGGTAGCTGACAAGGTGTGAGCAACATAGATTTCTAGCTTTCTTGACTGGAGCTCCTTGAGCAGGGAAACGGGTTGAGAGGCATAGCAAAGAGAGCCGATAATGAACGACAACCGAAGCGGGCAGGAACAACGCCCTAGCAAGTCCAAAGGCTTCAGAACCTGTTCGTTCACAGCCCTCTGCAAAGTCAGTAAGTGGGACAAAGAGAGAATCACATCCCGGAGGGAAGGTGAGGCACTCATAGAACGGGACGACGGGGAAGAGGCTGCCAAGGACAGGAACCGCTGCCCGGGAAGCCTGCTGGTAGACCAGCCTCCCAGCCTAATTGTTGCTCTGCTAATTACAGCGATTGAAGCAATTATTTGGGAGCAATCAAGACTTCCATGAAGGTGGTGGCCATTCTTAGGAGCCTGAGAGGACCTGAGGCAGGGGCTAGAGCTCTGCAAAAATCTTGACAAAGCAGAGAAGGGTGTCATGGCGCATGCATGCCTATAATTCCAGCACAGGCATGGAATTACATGGGGTGGCAGAAGCAGGTGGATCTCTGAGTTCAAGGCCAGCCTGGTGTACAAAGTGAGTCCAGGACAGCCTAGAACACAGAGAAACCCTGTCTCAGAAAACCAAAACAAACAAACAAACAAAAGACAATCTTGGCAGCAGATACCTGTCTTTTCTTCCTCAGGTGTGGGGCACAGACATACACATTTACTTATTCTGGTGGTATGGACTAGTTCATTCAGAGGTATGAAGCACAAGATCTGAAAGCCTTCCTTTTTCTGGTGCTGACCTTGATTTCCCTTCCAGAGACACCACTGGCTGGTTTGGGGAACATCTTCACTAAACGTTTCATATATCTGCATATATGTACATATATACATATGTTTATACATAGCACAATTATCACACTAGAACATGGTTCAGCAATGTCTTAGTTTGGGTTTCTATTGCTGTGACAAAACACCAGGATGGAAAAGCAAGTTGGGAAGGAAAGGGCTTATTTGGCTTACACCTCTACATTGCTGTTATCATGAAGGGAGTTAGGACAGGAACTCAAACAGGGCAGGGTCCTGGAGCTGATGCAGAGGCCATGGAGGGGCGCTACTTACTGGCTTGCCCCCCATGGCTTGCTCAGCCTGCTTTCTTATAGACCCCAGGACCAGCAGCCCAGAGATGGTACCACCCACAATGGGCTGGGTCCTCCCCCCAACTGATCACTAATTGAGAAAATGCCTTACAGCTGAATCTCATGGAGGCTTTTTTTTCAACTGAGGCTCCTTCCTCTTTGATGACTCTAGCTTGTGTCAACTTGACACACAAAACCTGTCTCCCATGCCCTTTTTGAGGATCTTTATTTCAATCTTAATGTAGGTAGGCTGAGCCCTTATTCCTAGTGGATATTGGAGTCATTGCCTATCGACTGCATTTTGCGTCTCTTGGACTGCACACTTTCTTTTGCTACCTTTACTGGTATGGTAGGGACACAGCTAGCAAGAGAAGACGCAACGTGATGCAGAAGTCTCACGTCCTCACACCTTCACCCGCACTGCTTATGAGCCATCTCTTTGTTTGTTTAGCTGGTTAGTCTGTCTTGAGACACGTTGTTCCTTTGTGGCCCAAGCTGACCTAGGGCTAACTATAGTGTCCAGGCTATCCTCAAACTTGCAGCAATCCTCCTGACTCAGCCTCCCAAATGCCACCACCACACCCACCTTTTTTTTTTTTTAACCAATAGAGAGGTTAAGATATATATATATTAAAAAAAAAAAGGACTCATTTTACTTTTGTTTACATAAAACGATGAAGTTGGGGCTGAGGAGATGGCTCAGAGGTTAAGAGCACTGGCTAGTCTTTCAAAGGTCCTGAGTTCAAATCCCAGGAGCCACATGGTGGTTCACAACCATCTATAATGAGTGCCCTATAATGGTGCCCTCTTCTGGCACACATGCAGACAGAACACTATATAAATAATAAATCTTCTAAATTTTTAAAAAATAAAATGATGAAGTTAAGAATCTTTGTGTGTGTGTTGTTTTGGATTATTTTCAAGACAAGGTTTCTTTGTGTAGCCCTATTCTGGAACTCTCTCTGTAGACCAGGCTACCCTAGAACTCACAGAGATCTGCCTGCCTCTGCCTCCTGAGTGCTAAGATTAAAAGTGTGTGCCATGACTACCTGGCATTTTGAATTATTTTTTAATTGCAGATTGATCCTCTGCCATTTTTCTAATAGGTTTTTCATTACATTTTTCCTTGTAGATCAGTATGAACTGTACATATTTTGGACAACTGTACCTTGCATGTGGCATGCATTATTCCCAGCTATCACTTGTCTTTAACTCGGTTTGTACATGCTTTGGCCAAGTATGAATTTACGTCTTACTTTGCTTTCCGTTGCTTCTTACTGGCTTGCTCTTCTGTCTTTCTCAGCTACCTTTCCTACACAACCCAGGCCCACCTGCCCAGGGGGGCACTGCCACAATGGGCTAATCCCACACCAATGAGCATTCAAGAAAATTCCTGTCTGATGAAGGCAATTTTTCCATTGAGGGTCCTACTTCCCAGTTGACTCTAGTCTGTATCAAGTTGGCAAGCACAAACTGTTAACTCCTCAAATTTAGACTGTCTGCAGTTGGCAAAGAGCTCCCCTCAGAGCCTGCAAGAGGCAAATTGTGTGCCGCTATGGACTATCTGAATCGGTCCCACATCCTACACATGGAACCAAAACAAAAACATGTTTATATCCACAACAGTCCCTTTGTCCAGTGCTTGACCTGCAATAACCAGAATGTTAGATCTCCACTCAGGCCCGGAGAGATATCTGTAAGGGCATTTACTGCTGCTCTCTTACATTCTTTCATCGGAAGAGTAACCTTTAAATCATTCAGGATCCAGATCAGGGATCAGAGCTCCAAACACTTCTGGCATCTCTGGCCTCTGACTCACTTTTGTTTTTTAAGTAGAGTTTACATAAAGAATAGAAATGCTTTCCATAACAGAATAATGTAAACAATTTCTCATGTTATTAAATATTAAATAGCCAGGTTTGTAATGACTGAACATGCATCATTCTATAAACAGTTCCTTTGGCAGAGATTTCCACAATGCATTCCTGTGTGAGCCACTGGCCTGTGGTGCCTGAAGTCACGTTGTGTTGGTTTTATCACCACTGTGACTCCCACTCCCACCATGGTGCCATGGCACCCCCAGAGCACAGAGCAGGTTGCAGTATTTTAAATCTTTGTTATATCTAAGAGACAGGAAACTGAAACATGCAAGCATAGTAGCACTCTGGAAACAGCAGGGAAAGGTGGGCTGAGCTCTGGGCTCCCGGCGCTGGCCCAGTACTCTAAAGGGGCTGCTGGATTCTGGTCAGCCCTTCACAGTGTCACCTGCTTGAATCCCACGTCACCTCCAACTGCTGTCATTCGAGAATAGCCTACACAAATAATCTTATAGTGAGGTGGGACATGGTGAGTGTATTTGAGGTCCACGGACGCCTTTCTTCTTCTCAGGTGAAGGGCAAGTCAGTCCATTATGGAAAAATCATTCTGGAAGTTGCTTACAGACAAATAGGAGGCCTGATGGAGGCCAGCAAGGGGCTTTCCTAAAGGAAGAACTTGAAGAAAGGCTTTACCAGTGGAGGAGGGAAGGAGGAATAGAAAAGGTGTTACACTGGTGAGGGTGGTGAAGCTGTGAGCATATAGGTGGTGGGTGCTGAGAGCATAAGAGTCTTCTTGGGGCCTAGAGGTGCCCCCAACCATGCCATCCCTGTGGGGGTTCAGGGCTAAGTTCTAGCATGTATTTGAGATCAAAGAAACTATTCTCTCAGGACTCATGGAGTACAACTCAAGGGCTTACCCAGGGTCCCTTGCTTTGAAGAC